CCTTTATTCCATTTTATAGAGAGACACATTTGGGGCAAGGGGGATATGGGAGCTCAAACAGGAGCTTTGCACTGAGCTACATCTCAAGTCCTTTACTGTTTTATTTTGAGACAGATTCTTGCCAAATTGCCCAGGCTGGGCTTGAACTGAGATCTTCCTCCCTCAGCCTCCCAGAGTACTGGGATTATAGGTGTGCACTACCAAGCCAAACTATTACCGTAAACTATCTGCATCTTTTCCTAAACACCGTGATGTATCCATTCCTCTGTACATATACATCTACTTAACTATTTCTATCCAGGTAACAAAGTAACCATTTCAAGATAGCATAGCAGTTATTTTAAAGGCATTTCCCCCCTATTGTACACAGGTTGATACCCTTAATCTGAAAACTGAAATCTGAGACCTTCTGCCAGAAGAGTCTATGGAAATAATTCAAACTCTGAAAAACTTCAAAATTTGAAACACTTCTTCTGGCCCCACGCCTTTTGGAGAACTTTCTTTCTTTCTTTCTTTCTTTTTTTTCTTTTTCTTTTCTTTTTTTCTTAAAAAGCAATTTATTTCTCAATGTTCTAGCGATTGGACATTTAAGTTAAACATACCACACAGTCAGATACTAGGAAGGGCCCAAGGCCTAGGCTTGAAGATGGCTGTCTTCTGCTTGCGTCCTCTCTTGGCAGACAGCAAGCTCTGGAGGCTTCCACTTCTTTTTTATTTTTACTTTCAAAAATTTTATTCATATATATTTGCAATTCATGCATTTTACAATCATCTTGAGGATGATCCCTTCTCTTTCCCTCCCTTCAACCCTTGCTCCTCCAGCTCCCCTATCCTTTTTCATACTTGTTATTATGTGCCTTAGCTTGAATAAGGGATATTTTACCTGCTTATGTTTACTCAAAAACAGAATTAGAAGTTGGGTGTGGTGGCACATGCCTGTAATCCTAGCATGTGAGAGAAGGATCACTGTGAGTTGGAGACCAACCTGGGCTACATGGTGAGTTCAAGGCCAGCATGAACTACACAGCAAGATTCTGTTTTTTTTTTTTTTTTTTTTTTTTTTTTTTTTTTTTTTAAAGTATAACCCTACAGTATTTTTTCTTCCTTTTTTTTGTGGAACCGAGGATTGAACTCAGGCCCTTGTGCTTGCCAGGCAAGTGCTTATTCTACTGAGCTATCTCCCTGGCCCTTGCCCACAGTACTTTATAGCCTACTTCTTCCACTTAATAAGTTACTTCATCATTTAACAGTTGCTTATAATTTTAATGAACGATTTTGTTATGATCTATTTAACTAGTGTCCTATTGACTGTCAATTGTATTACAGATAATCCTTATTTAAGGACCTACAAAAACTCTTGGGGCTTAAGATCAAGGCATGCTGTTTTGACTTATGGGCAGCTTTGTTCTCGGTACAGTATGACTTGTTTATATTCTACTGTAAGTTTTGCTGATTATACTACACTGTAATTTTATGCTGTTATAATTATAATATTGCATGTAAGAGTTGTGCAAATAAAAGCAGTCATCAAGTTGGCATTTCCTTTGACCATTTCTTTGCTCTGAATAGTGCAATGTACACATTATATATAATTCCTTGATTAGTGATCAAGTCACTTAACAGTCTAGTTGCAGGACCACAGTCTCTAGATGAGGAATCTCTGTGTTTCTTATTTTTCACCATTGTAAACAACAGTGCAATGAAGATCATTATTATAATACCTAGTTCTGGGCCAACCAGATTGCTCAGTGGATTAAAGCCCCTGCTTAGGCAGACTCAGGGATGGGAGTTGGATCTCTGGCATGCCGTGGAAGCCCTGCCCCTGGGGCATGCTGAGACACTGAGACTGGACATGGTGGTGGCCTGTGCATGTAATCCCAGTGCTTGGGAGGCTATAAAGAGGAGAATCACTACAAGTCCTATTTGTGTAGTGAGACCCTGCACTAAATACAATAGCTAGTTCCTTAGGTCAACTTCTAGAAATAGATTTTTAGGGACAGCTAACAGATACATAAATATATTTAAAACATGCAAAAACAATGCCAAATAATCTTCTAAAAGGATTCTGCTATCACATTTCTGTTGTCAAGCCACAATGACATCTTCTAAAGTTTCTAGCCCTAATATCATGCTCTATAAAGTCCTTCTCTACCTCAAAATTGTTCTACAAATTTCTATAAATATGCATACACACATAAGTTGCGCATATGTGCACACACACAAGGAATGGTACATCTGTTAACTCAGTAAAACCCAAACTCAAAGAAAATCAGCATTCAGTGATACTGACACTTGGCTTTCCCAAGTATTTTCAATTTGCAGCTGGCTAAATCCATGGATACAGAACCATACTCAGTTAACCTGGCCTATTCAAACTACGAAGCAGGAATAGTGATACGGATGCATGCTTCATTAGCCTCAGGAAACACGTGGAATGGGAAAAGCTCAGTTCTCCAGCCACAAGACTGTTACTGAATTCTTTGTTAAGTGGAGAATAATAATTTAACAACCATTCCAAAAAGGACAGCCCCCCGCCCCCAGAATGCAGCAGCCATCCTGGGTCTACATGGAAACACTGACCCTAAAATCCACAAGAAGTGTAAGCCACTGCCAACAGTGTCTACCTCCTAGAATGATTTCATCAGAAAATAAACCTGCATTTGTTTGCTGCTATGGTCAGGCTGTTTCTTGTAGCTCAAAATAATCCTACAGGATAGTCATTTTCAAATAAATACTTTGCTTCATTTTGTTTCAGATAGGGTTTCACTATACATATAGTTCAGGCTGGCCTTCAACCTTCAAATGCTGAGATTATAGGCATGTACGACCATACCTGGCTCAAGTAACTTTTTTATCTAAATGAATGCTCCAAATGACAAATAAATAGAAGTATCCCTGGGGTATCAGATAATGTAAGAAAAAGTTCAACTGAGAATGACAGAATCTTGATTTCTAAATGACTTAGAGGTATTGTATTCAAAGGATGCCACTAGCATTTATTTATTTTTTTTATTTTATTTACATTTATTTATTGTGTGTGTGTGTGTGTGTGTGTGTGTGTGTGGCCAGCTCAGCCCACCTTGGGGTGGGGCTGGCTGGCATGTGGTGCTGGGGGGTTCCTGTGCTTTGCCAATCTTGTTCCAAGTAGGTGCTTTAGACCACTGAGCCATCTCTCCAGCCCGCCACTAGCATTTAAAACAGGCTTCACTTTAACCTGAAAAGCTTTTAGGTTTAGTTTTAAACATCTAGCTCTCTTCTCTTCTTGTTGTAAATTTTAATACCATTCTGACAGGGAATTTAACATGTACTTATTGTACCCTGACTCTTCAAAAGCTAAACAGACCACCCAGCATGGTGGCACATGCCTGCAATCCTAGCTCCTTAGGGCTGTGAGACAGGAGGATGACAGGTTGGGCAATCTAGTGGAACTGTGTCTCAAAATGAAAAATAAAAAGGGACAAAGATTTTTTTTTTTTTTGAAGATTTTTTTTTTAAAAAAGCTGTACCTATGCATTCCCTTTCAAAGCACAGGAGAACATATGAGATCACAAAAACACAAGTAAACATACTCAGAACAACTCGTAAGATTTCTGTATTCAAAACACTGAACACATCAAAAGAAAAATAACAATTGTTTCCCTAAACCTGGAGACCTACCCGTGGTGGAATGCAAGTATGATAAAGAATGTTAGTAACTATTTTCACGTAAAAAAAAGGGGGGGGGCTGGGGAGATGGCTCAGTGAAATAAGTGCTTCCCTGGCAAGCACAAGGACCTGAGTTCAATCCCCAGTTCCAAAAAAAAAAAAAAAAAAAAATTAAGTTGGTAAAACTCCCACGTCTACCTTACAACCAATAATTCACTGGGGTAAATATGTTTAAAAATGTCTACTAAGGCATTACTCACACTGACAATTTAAAATACTTTAAACATCCCAAAAGTCAGCTAGTACCTTAGTATTATAAAGATTCTGCATAGTCATGTAAAATTTTTTAATATTTAATCTTTATTATTTTTGTGGTGCTAGGGATCAAACTCACAGCCTTGCGCATGATAGGCAAGTGCTCTATCAGTGAGTATTTTTAATGGCATGAAAATGCTGATGCTTTATAAAATATAGTAGGTTACAATTTCAATTTTGTAGAAAAAGGAAAACAAGTACATGCCAAAAGAGAAAGCACAGAGCCAGAGGGAAAGCACTGTATGAGATGCCAACCATGATCATCTTCCTGTCTGTGCTCACAAATACTCACACTTTGCTGGGGAAATAGCTCAGTGGAATAAGTGCCTGCCTGGCAAGCGCAGGGTCCTGAGTTCAATCCCTGGTGCTGTGGGGGGGGGGGGACAAAAAACACTCACACCTTGCCAGGTTTACATGCTGCAAGGGCCTGAAAACGATGACGGCCACTTACAATGCACACTGCAAGAGGCAAAGGTTGGTTCTTAAAGATCATCACCCATCTCAAAGAACGAGGGCTGGGCTGGGGATGTAGCTCATTGTAATATGAGTATCCATTTCTTTTCTGTCTATATTTCTACCACTCCTGCTTTATAAAATGAGCATGTACTGTACTTTCAAAACATTCAAAATCCTCAATGGCAGCCCCAACAGATATGTATGCAGAGCTCTGCCTCAGTCTCTAGAGCCACACTACAGAAAGCACATACACAAAACTCAACATACACACCATGCACATGTGCCATCCCGACCCTCTCAGAGAGGACTTCAGATGGCCCAGAGTCCTAGACTAAAGCCGAAAACCAAATCAAAGCAAACAGCAAAAACAAACCAAGTAACAGAAGCAGCACTGAGACCTATGGAAATTTTTGATTTGGTTTTACAGTAATTATGGGAGTAAAGAGATGTGACAAGGACCCTTGCACTCTGATGCCAATGACAAATGGTTAACTGATAAGAACAAGGAGGTGACAGTGTGTAGAGCAGGTCAATATCAGGCTGTCATGAAGCCATTTGAGACATATAATTAATCTATTACTCACCTGGCATCATCATTCATTGTCGTATGGTCAATAGGTGCCATGAAGCTCAGGAGCTTGCTAAGGACATGAAACCTAAACAAAGCCGGAAACAATCATACAATGATATTAGTAACTACTAACCTGGCAAAGGAAATGTATCCTACAAGTTAACTACTCCAGAGCTGATCACAGGGACATTTGGCTCCAGAGAAGAACAAAAAATAAATTCAGACACCACACACAATTGTATTTTTCCTTATTGCTATAGGAAAACAAAAATCTGGTAACAGTACATTGTAAATGACAGTAGCTCAATATAGATCCGTTTCTATCACGACTCAAAAAATGAACAGACATACTTGTGCCTTTGAGTAATATACAAACCCTTGTACATTATTCCAGACAAAGTCAATGAGGACCTGACTACTTTGCTCTTCTGCATACATCTTCACCATTTTTTGGTATCATTAAAGCTATCTGCTGGCAACATCAGAGGAGGTGACAGAATTCCTGAATGTAACACCTCACCAGCACTATCACTCCCTGACACTGGCTCTGAGTGAGAAAAGACTGTTTTGATTCCACATCACCTCCATGCAGCAGCCCCAGTGGGGCTTTCGTTTTCCTGTCTTTAAATGAAGGTACTGACTGACTTTAGGCCAAGTTTGAGGCCAAGATCTTCAGCTGAGGTGTTATAGAGGTGTTACAGAAATTGGAGTTAGAATACCTATATTTCCAACCAACAGCAAAAGGGTACCTGGGTATGAAGTGCACTGAGATTCACTGGTGAAGGCAGCAGAACAAATGTATGACCTTATTTAGACCAAAGTATACCACAAAGAACTCAATGAGGTATCCTTTCTACTCATCATAATGAAAGAGGCTACTTGAGCAAAACACTATTGAAGTTATTTTCATGTATAGAATGTTTTATAGTTTTAGAAACATTTTTACATGTATCAAATAATTAAGTTTCCCAAATTTCAACACATTTGTTTTTCTCAATAACTGAACTTTATAATAACATTGATTACACTTTATTCAGTAAAAAATTATAAATTCATTGCAGAAAATCTGGAAAATAAGCTGGGTATGGTGGTGCATGTCTATAATCCTAGCACTCAGGAGGCTGAGGCAGGAGGATCACTGAGTTCAAAACCAGCCTAGGTACATAGTTCAAGATGGGGGAGGGGGGGCTAGGGAGGGGGCGAGAGAGAATTTGGAAAATAAAGCTGAGCCAAAGTTCCCAATATTGCTATTCTCCAGGAGTAATCACTGCAGACATAGTGAGTCGTCATATAAAAGACACCTCCAGTTAAACTAAGAAATAGGAGTTTAAAAATCAAATTGTCCACGCCACTAAAAATATGTACTTAATCTTATTCTGACATTTATTGTTCTTTTTAAAAATAATTTTATTGAGAAACAAATAGCAATGAGTTTCAAAACTGATTACTAGCAGTTTCAATAAATAATACATTGCATATTGTTGTTCTTGAGCTACACTATCCAATAGGATTTTCTGTTATGATGGGAATGATTTTTACTAAAACAGCCACTAGCCATGTGCATGCATGGAGCACTTGACGTGTGACTAGGATGACTGTAATGAAGATCTTCATTCCTAAAGAAATGACAGTTATACCAGCCTAATGCCATAGTAGTACATTAATGTAATGTGTACAATAAATAGACTCCAGTGTAATCTCAAAAAAAATGTCAATTTGACCATAGCACTTTCCATGTAAAAACAATAGTTTTTAAAACTGTTATGCATTTATTTAAAAAACAATATATTTTATTTTTTTAATCTTTTTTTAAAATTTTATTTATTTGTGTGTGTGTGTGTGTGTGTGTGTGTGGCCATCTCAGCCCACCAGGGGGTGGGGCTGGCTGGCATGTGGTGCTGGGGGATTGAACTGCGGTCCCTGTGCTTTGCTAAGCTTGTTCTAAGTAGGTGCTTTAGACCACTGAGCCATCTCACCAGCCCCCCAAAAAAATATATTTTAACATAAACGTAAGACTGTACTATAAAGTCGTGCACTACTTAACATCATTCTGGTCAACAAAATGGTCATATGTACAATATACCACTAGCCTTGTCTGAGGTATGCTGTACCATCTGGGTTTGTGCAAATATACTGCATTACGTGGTAGCTGACTTCCAGCACATGCGCTGCAGCAGGCTGTCTGTTGTCACTGAAAGCACTAAAAGGCTTGCCATCATTGCTCTACGATGTTCACACAAGGATGAGATCACCTAACAACCCATTTCCCCAAATATTCTCTCACTAAGCTATGAATGACTGCACCTCCTACTTGGCATTATGCCCCCCCACTCCCAACTGAACCATATGTGCTATTTGTTTTTCATAGTTCAGATTATTCTGTGCTCATATAATTCATTTAATTTCTTATTGATGAGCTTTTCTTTTAAAAATGTATTAAACAATGCCAATTTTTTTTAACAATGCCAAACTAAGTAATGCCAAAATGAAGATGCTCATACATAAATCCGTATGTGTTTGTTCACATTTTTCTACAGGATAAATTTTGAAACTGCTGAATTAAAACATATACATAGATAAAATTGAAAGATTGAAGCAAAATGCCCTCCCAAAGGCTGTCAAGGTAAAGACCACAAATATTTACACCACCTTTTTATTTGAATATAAAAGACAAATACTGTAATCAGATAAAATGTACTGTGGTGATACAAGCCTGTAGTCCCAGCTACCTGGGGGCTGAGGTGGGAAGATCACCGGGACCCAAGGGATCAAGGCCAGCAGGAGCACCACAGAGAGACTGTCTCAAAAAAACACATAAACAAAGCAAAGCAAAACCCACAAAAATTTTCATATAAAGGCACTAGTAGTGTAGTTCAGTGGTAGAATACTTGTCCAGCATACATAGGTATTAGGTACCATACTCCCAACACTGCAAAAGTTTAAAGAAAAAAACTTTTAGGCTGAGGAGATAGTTCAGCAGCCTAATGCTGGCCCGAAGCCGGGCATGGTAGCACATGGGGAGGCTGAGACAGGAGGAATCACTATGAGTCTAAACTGTGTAGTGAGACCCTGAATCCAATGAATGAATGAATGAATGAATGAATGAATGAATGAAAAGAATGAAAGAAATTTTTAAAAAAACTTTCAAAGTGTCCAGGCTTTATCACATTTTGGTGCACATCTGAAAAAATGAAAACTGTTCTTGGCTCTGTCCAAAGACAGTTTGGTTCATCTTCCAGACAAAGATCATAAACTAATACTCTATGGTTATATTGTCTAATGCTGTCACCAGGAACCACATTTAGCACTTGGTGGCAAGTCCAAACTGAGATGTACTATAACTATAAGACTAACACTAGACTTTAAAGACTGGAGATCGAAAGTAATGCAATACATAGCATTAATGTTTAAAATCATAAACTAAAATCATATTTTTGATATTTAAATGAAACACAGTTTTAAAATTAAGTCCCATATTTATTTATTTAGCAGTACCAGGGATTGAACTCAGGACCTTGCACTTGCCAGGCAGACACTTGTGTTGCTGAGCTACCTCCTTTTCCTTTTTAAATACGGTGACTAGAACATTTACAATTACAGTAATACATATTTTATTGGGTGGCACTACTCTATAGAATACCTTTACATTTAATACAACATATACAAGAATTGTATGACAACAGACTAAGAGGTAATTGTAAAGACAAGGTAATCAGATTAAAGACAACTGATTAATGTATACTTAAGGCAGCGTATATCATCTGCTCCTAATGCTACCAAGGATGTGTGCACAGTTTAATATTGGAAGGCCTTTCACCAACTATCTACGAAAAGATGAATCTAACGTCATTGTAGAGGAAGAGACCCATAAGGCAGAACAACTTTCTTCCCTTTTCCTGGGGGTGGTGCTGGGGATGGAACCCTGGGGCTGCTCTAATTCTGAGCTCCACCCCCTGCCGCCACAGCTCACTATGAAAGGCCTGAAAGTTTACATCATTTGCATTATTATTTACAGTTAATTCCACTTATGTAAAATGGTCAGTAAAATTACTGACAATAATTATTTCCAAATCCACACAAAATTTTTTTGTTGTTGTTGAGGGAGACAGGGTCTCACTACATAGTTTCAGTTTAGGCTGGCCATGAACTCATGACAATCCTTTTGCTTTATTTTATTTATTTATTTGGGGGGGGCAGCTCAGCCCACCAGGGGGCGGGGCTGGCTGGCATGTGGTGCTGGGGGATTGAACCGTGGTCCCTCTGATTTGCTACAGCTTGTTCTAGGTAGGTGCTTTAGACCACTGAGCCATCTCACCAGCCCAATCCTTTTGCTTTAGCTTCCTGAGTGCTGGGATGATAAGTGTGTGCCACCACATCCAGCTTCATTTTGTAAATAAATCATTTTCTAGCATCTAGCTAGCAAGTACCATGCACAGTCAGACTATGCTATAATAGTCTGCTTAAACTGTTGTTTAAACTGTTTCTACAAGGAAACATTAATTTGTATTTTAGATCTTTCCAACCACATCACAAAGAGCAGAAGCTGTTCGATGTTGGGACCTATGATCAGTGAGAACAGCTGGCACACCCTACTGTTGTGAAATCTAATTGAAGAAAATGACTTGTAATACAGTGATACTTTGGTACTGGCTGTTAATTGGTTCCAGGAGAAGTGACAAGTACCAAAACCACTGAATACCTACAAACTATTTTTGCTGGAAGGGGTTTTAAGTCACAAGGCAATCAACACTGTAAGTTCTAGTTTGAGGCTCCAGAACTACCCAAACAAGTACAAGGACAAATTTTCTCAACATAATACTTCAAGAACAAATCAGATGCATTTCAAAGCAGTTGAACACCAGTTTGACTATATTCTCCTCTAGCTTGGCCCACTTAACCTAATCCTTTAGGACAGGATGCTAACGTAGTCACGAAGTCATTTTGGTGCCTACACAGGCCACTTGGTCCTCCTGCTTGTGCAACAACTCAATAGCCAGAGGTTGGAAGCATAGGCTCTAGGATCCAGACCAATTAGTTCAAATCCCAGTTTGCTACTTACCAGCTCTGTAAGGCTGGTAAGTTACTTATCTTCTCTAAGCACTTTACATGAATTAGCTCATTTAATCTGCATAACAACCCTATGAGATGTGACTTCAATTATTATATTCATTTCATAGATGAGAAAATTGAAGCACAGAGATGTAAAGTAACTTGATCAAGGTCTCAAGGCCAATAAAGGGAAGAGTTAGATTTCAAATCTAGACAGTTTGGCTCTGGAGTCTGTGTTCTTTTGTCTCTACATATAAATTGCTCAGCTGTGCCTGCCTGTTAAGAACTCCAAATATGTTCTCACGATTCGTGAAGCTTCCTCCCTGATTCTGACTATACACCTTATCTTTATGGCCTCAAGGAAAATAAAGTGAGCACCTATGACCAAAAAAAAAAAAAAAAAAAAAAAAAAAAAGACAGGAGGATCTTGGGAGAGCTACTTGAAGACAAGGCAAAATATATCATTTCTCCTTGAATTTTTGCCCAGTGATTTGAACATGTACTGGTAGATCTGGCCTGCAAAAATGGTTTTAGTGGTGTTTTCCTAGTGGCGATTTTCTTTCTCTCATTCCTTCCATATTTACTAAGTGGTGTTGACTTTTTCTTTTTGTCTTTTTGAGACAGATTCTCGCTATGCAGCAGATACGTATCAATAATGCCACAATCTATGCAGACCCCTCTGAAGCTCTAGGAATCATTCTCACCTTCTTACTTTCTTCTACCCCATTCATATGTATTCTTTCTTTGGGAACCAGGAATTGAACTGAGGACCTTGTGCCTGCCAAGCAGGCGCTGGGCCGCTGACCTGCATCCCCATGTACTCTTTTATACAAACTATTCACCTGTGTTAAGGTCACCCAAGCCATCATCTCTTATTCCTCCCAGCTCTTGCCCTCATAAATTTCTAGTCCATGTCAACACCCTAGAACTATCTTTCTAAAATGCAAATATGATGACAACATTCCCCTGGCCAAAATCTTTCTCACTAGAATCTCACCATGTAGCACTGGTGGCCTCAAATTCAAAGCGACTCTCCTGCCTCAGCCTCCCAAGTGCTGGGATTATAGATGAGTGCCACCATACCCAGCTAAAAATAGAGGTTTCAAAAACTGTATTTTTAACCTCACTTATGTACATTGTAAAAAAAATCTCTGGGGGCTGGTGAGATGGCTCAGTGGTCTAAAGCACCTACTTAGAACAAGCTTAGCAAAGCACAGGGACCGCAGTTCAATCCCCCAGCACCACATGCCAGCCAGCCCCGCCCCCTGGTGGGCTGAGCTGTCCCCCCCCACATAAATAAATAAATTTAAAAAAAAAATCTCTGGAGTCCTTCACTTACATATTTTTATTTTATTTATTTCTTATTTTTTGGCAGAATCAGGGATTGAACTCAGATCCTTGAGCTTACCAGGGAAGTGCTTATTCTACTGAGCCATCTCCCTGGTCCCTATTTATATCTTTTTAAAACCAAAGTAATTGCAACTTTCTTGCCTTTGTTTTATTATTTCTCTTACAGGGAAACAGTACATCCACTCACAACAAAAGAAGAAAAAGTGAATGAAACTACACTTCCATTCTACAGTAAAAAATACCAAGTAACCAAAAACTCAAATACTGTTTATTGTTTTTCTGATCCTTAAAACAGAATTACCAGAAGACAGAAATGATATAATTGCCTAAATGCAAAAGAAGAGTCAATTTATGTTTAAATTTTTCCAAAAATCAACTTACCGAAGTTTCCTTCCTTTGCTGGCTTTCCTATCTACTTTCTTGTGGATTTTGCTTCGTAGCTTTTGGATTGCAAGCCACTGCCTGGGAAATTTACAAGCAATGTTATGCATCATCACTAACAGAAATGGTTATATATATTGACAAATTGGAATTTTTCTCACTAACAACACTGCAGAAAGAAATCACCAAACTCTTCAACACAGGCTGGGGCCAAAGTGACTAATCAATTGAAGAGGATTTGTGCAAAGGTAAAACACAAGTGGCAGCTGGGAAATTCTACAGCAAATTTGGTTAACAATGCTTCTTAGTATTTGGAGCTGCTGTGACATGTACTAAATCTACCAGTCTGCAGGAAAACCCATCAGCTCCAGTAGAGTGCTTAGATTTTCTTCTAATGGTTCAGCCACGTAGCACATTCTCTTAATGGCAACTGCTGGTAGGAGGAACATAAGCATTCTTTAAATCTAATTTTTACTTTGCTAATAATCAAGTGTTTTTCTTTGTGCTAGTTTCTGCTCATTTTTAATAATTATCCACTACTAATACTAGCCTTATGGTCATTCATTTTTCATTTCATCTATAAGTATTTCAGTGTACACTGATAAACCTTAAGGACTCCTCTCCTCATATAAAAGCTCAATACCATTCACACCTAAAAAAATAATCCTCTACTATCAAATATTCAGCTGGTTTCCAAATTTCTCAGATTGTCTCAATTTTACAGTTGGTTTGTTTGGATAAGGATTCACGCAAGATGCATATATTCTGCAGTCATTTCAGATAAGAAGAAATTAATTTTTCAAATAAGGGATACTACGCTAAGAGAATCTTCACAAACTGCTCCTATGAACATACATGAAAAGAGGAGGAAAAAGCAGCCACGGCAGCAGCAGTCATCACACCTGATTCATACTATGAAAACGCAACATCGGAAGAGAAAAAAAAATCTAAGAAAATCCAATTACTGTAATCTTAATATAATCTTAATTACCATAATCTATTTTATTGTAAAGTCAGATAAATGTACAATATAATCATCACTTAAATGCAATTTGGTCTATCACATTAAATTTATGAACAGCCCTCTACAACATTCCAGAGATACACGAGACATCAACAGCATCCACCCTAAATTCAAATAATATTCTTCTCAAATAAAATTATTTCATCAACAGAAAATTTTCATTGCTTTCTCAAAATGCTGCTTGGGCCACAATCCCCTTCCGGCACTTGCAGCTTTTGTTTCCTTTCATGCTTTTGCAAATTATGGCTCAGGGCTATTTAAATGTACACTATTCATTAGGTAGCACTCTAAATGCCCTTTTTATTTTCCAACCACAGGATGGAGCATACACACAAGAGCCTTCCTTCACTACTTTACATTCTACCCGGACATCTGGGTAATGCTGCCACATTCCATTTCTAATTGTGCTGAAGCTTTTACTGCAGGGGGCGGAGGGCCTAAATTAGGGCAGACTAACAAAGCAGATTCAACTCCAAGCAAGGAACCTGTTGTACACAGTGCCACATTCTGACAGCTGAGAGAGCATGTTGGGGTGGCTTTTTATCCACTGGTCAGCAGACTGATATGGATACAATCACAACCCAAACTCAAGAGCAAAGAACAAAAGGAAGACTGAAAAACCTTAACACGAACACAGGTTTTTCATTGTCTCTTTTCTTATCATACTTAAGGCAATGAAGTTACTTTTAATAGTTACAATCAGTCACTATGTCTTTCCAGTTCTTATTATCTTGCTTAACTTTGATAACTATAGGACCAATCACTGCCCTGAAGGCAGAATTCAGGGGACTCAAAGGGACAAACTATTATATGGTCAGCTTACATGAGTAGAAAACTGTACTGAAATTACCTTCCCATGGCGACTTGATCATTGGGATCCAAGGAGCTGGTCTTCCGTTCTATGAGTTCTCGAAGGAGCTGGGGGAAAGGAGGAAGAAAAACAACTGATTTATTTATCATCTCCCAGCACCAACTGACTCTAAAAAGGCACAGAAGGAATTCTGAATGACATACTGACAGTTCTAAAACTACAATCAATAAGTGACAACCCAGTGGCAAGAGCATGACTGAATTCCTATTAACCCTTTCATATTTATATAATCTTTAAAACACAGCTACAGCAATAACTGAGAACAGAAGTCCATTTGGACTTACTGTGCCGCAGTTCATTTCAAATGGATCAATGAGTGTGCAACACTGCCTTCATTTTTTTTATGATTAGTTCTGTCCAGCCCATCGCTATCAATGGGGAATCTTTAAAAGGTCAGATGGGAAGGGCTGTGTGGCCAAAAGGAAAACACAGTGGCTTCCCACAGATTGTACAACTGTACAGTTAACTTCTGGTCTACCACCTCCCACCGTTGGGCAGACACTCCTCAGAAGGGCTTGACAGTAGATAATTAAGAGGGAAGACTTCACACTCTTGCTTTCCATAGCTGCTACGCTACCATGTGAGGCACTGAATTACTTACCAGACAAGACACTAACATACATTGACAGTCACAATAGTTTTAAGAAGGATTCAAAAGAAAGTAATTTGTACACACTACTGTATAACACAGGGGCCAGTTTCTCATCCCAAACAATTAATTCAAGGGGAACACAGGCTTAAGAATATGAAGAGAAGCAATGGATTTTGAAGTTAAAGGGGGACACTTTTAAGTTACAATAATGACTCTAACATCATCTCTCCTATATAAGTGCTATTTAAAAAAAACAGTAAGAGATTAAAATTCCAAACAATGTGAGAAAAACCTAATGGATGATACTAAAACAAACCAGCTCTTGCTCATCATTCATCAGTAATACACGTTTGACTTTAATACTTGCTTCTTCACAAAAATAAGCAATTATTTTGTAAGTAAGGCATGGCAGCATACCTATTTCACCAAGCCAAATAGCTTAAGTCTGTGGGTAGATGGGAAGAAGAAATAAATTCCTATGAAAGTAGTTCACTTCCTAGTTTTCATCCGCTTATATAACTAGGCTCTGGAAGAAGTACAACAAATTTATAAAAATACATCTATAAGGTGAATCTTTATTGCAAAAGGGAAAAGGATATCTCAGTTGCAATTAGAAAGCCTCCTGTGATGTTTTTTCATTTGCTTATTTTCAACATTATTACCACAGCAATTACATTTAAAAATGCAAGGACCAGAGGCCACTGGTTTATTATCACTAGAAAACGGCAAGCTATTTCTTTACCCTGTTTATCAGATTGATTTTCAACATCTTTCTGGCAGCCAATCTATCAGTTTATCTCTCCTACTTCATCACAGTCACTTCTGGCAGCTAAATACAAGATCCAAATCCAGTGTTACACAGACACACGCCACAGTAAACCTGTGTAACACTGCTACGGCGCAAACAGCTGCCCTGAGGGCTGAGGAAACATGGGCTTCTAGTTCCTGGCCAATATACTGTCAGAAGCAAAAGAGGGGACTAGGCAGCCAGGGTGGGGGTAATAGTAATAAAAATGGACTGAATGCATTTCATTGCCTAACTCACCTGATTCAGCCTCACAAGATTACAGCCACTATTCATACATTAGCTTTCTTAATCATACATGATCCCAAGATGCAGTAGTCTCAGACCAAGGACTCATGGAAGACTGTCCCATCATTGGGGCAATCTCATCTGGAAGACAGCTCCACACGTCCTTGGCAAAAGCTGGAACTGGGATCTGAACAACTGCAGATCTATGACACCTGCAGTGGCCTCCATAATTCACGTGCCAAGTTGTGCAGTATTTACTTCCAAGCACTCTATCACCTGTAGCCTGGGCTGCATTCTCACTACCCAAGTACATCATTCGTGATTAAGAAGATGTTCATGGCCTATCTGGCTAAGTCTAACTTTATTCAGTCTAAAATTTCAAATGAGTGTGTTGTGTCCAAGTAGAAAAGAGAAAACAGGAAGCGGCGAAGGAAGGAACAACTATTCAAGTAGCCATTACTATTTCCCACAATTATCATTATCACTGGCATTAAATTTAATTAGGAAAGCTGATTTCAGATTCTTTTTTTTTTTTAACCAGGGACTGAACTCAAGACCTTATGTTTGCCAGGCAGGTGCTTATGCTGCTGAGCTATCTCCCTGGCCCCAGGAAAGCATACTTCAAAAAGCCTGCTGAAAAATGAAGCTTTAGGGGTATAGGGCTGAATAATTTCATTTCTGAGGTAGGTTTATTTTGTTTTGCAGGGCTGGGGATTGAACCCAGGGCCTCCTGCATGCTGGGCAAATGCTCTATCACTGAGCTAGCCTTCAGTCTCGGGGCTTTTTGTTTGTTTTTGGTACTGGGGATTAGATCCAGAGCCTTCACACTGAGTTATACCATACCTCAGGATTATTACTTTGCAGAAACGGCCTCACAAAATGGCCCAAATTGGGCTCAAACTTGCAATCTTGCTTCAGTTTGGGATGAAGGAATATGCCACCATGTAGAGCCTTGCTTTGATTTTTAGGTTTTACTGTATGAAAAAAATTTTCTAGGGCAAGATAGATAGCTCAGCAGACCAAAGCACCTGCTTAGGCATAGTGCAGCAGCAGGAGTTTGATCCCCGTATGCTGTGCTGGCCCTGACCCCGGGGCTCCCTGAGACCACCATTGAGACTGGGTGTGGTGGCGTGCACCTATAATCCCAGCACTTGGGAGGCTGTAAACAGGAGGATCACTATGAGTCAGATCTA